GATCCTCCGACCCCATATGCTCGAATCCCATCTACTGAGGGCAGAAAATGCACCCCGAAAAGAACCACCCCGACACGCGAGGCTTTTAATTAACGCGCCCAAAGAAGGAATCAGACAGGGCAAGGCTGTTTAGTAAACGCCCGGGGCCGTCTAGTAAACGCCAACTGTCCGGTCTGGGTGGTTTACCCCCACAAACGAACAAACAAACAAACAAAAAACGCAAGTCCGAGCGACGTCACGCCGTCCTTGGAGGCCTCCTGCATGGGGCCGGAATAAATGGGGTCGGAGGATCGCGCCGATACATCGGCGATGCATCGGCGATGCACCGGCGATGCGTCGTCGACGCCGGCGATGCATCGGCGATGCCAACGCTAAGCAAATCGGGACCCACATCGAGCCGCATCGTCGATGCATCGGCGATGCGGCGCGATCCTCCGACCCCACCTGCTCGGACCCCGTCTATAAAGGGCAGGAGATCCACCCCGATAGTAACCCCCCCCCACACGCGAGGCCTTTAGTTAACGCGCCCAAGGAAGGAATCAGACAGGGCAGGGCTGTTCAGTAAACGCCCAGGGCTCGAACAGGGCAGGGCTGTTTAGTAAACGCCCAGGGCCGTCTGGTAAACGCCAATTGTCCGGTCTGGGTGGTTTTCCTCCCTTGAAAAAAGGAGGAGAAAAAACCCCCCCCCAAAAAAAAACGCACGTCGGAGCGACGTCAAGCCGTCTTTAGAAGCCTCCTACATTGGGGCCGAAATAGGGAGGGTCGGAGGATCGCGCCGCATCACCGATACATCGGCGATGCAACGGCGATGTATCGGCGATGCACCGGCGAAGCGTCGTCGACGCCGGCGATGCGTCGGCGACGCCTACGCGAAGCAAATCCGCCGACCCCTTGTGGGTCTCAAGGCGCGTGAAATCCTTCCCCCCCAGAATCCCCCCCCAGGGACCCCAAACCGGCAATTCGACCCCCCCCCCCGGGCCCGGCTGGACCCCGGACCGAACGCGCCACAGGACTCCAAAACTCGCCAAAAACGTACCAACACTCGCCAAAAAAGATACCAAAACGCTCACCAGACGGTCCCCGACACCACGATTCGCCGACATAGCGCCCCCAGACGCCCACGATGGCCTCCAGGCGGTCACCGAAGCTGCCAAGACGCGCCAAAAAGGCCCCTAAGATGCGCCCCGAAAGGTCGCAAGAAACAGAAATCGGCCCATTTCCATCGAAAACCACGCATTACTCCGCATGCTCGCCTATTCGGCAATCACAACGTCCACGACATGCAGAGAAACCTTCAACATCGCTCCCACACGGCCAAAGGGGGCCCAAAGCAGGGTCGGTGAGGCAACAACAGCCCACGAAGCCCCCAAGACAGCCCAAGAGGGCCCCCAGACGGCGCCAACACGGAGTCCACAGGGCACCTTTTTCGAGCCTTCGGCTCCAAGACGCTCCCAGCCTGCTCCGAGAACAAACACCCCAAAGGGCCTGCGGGACCTCCCAGAAAACCTCCGAGGCCTCCAAGAAGCCACGAGGAAGTCCCCCAAAGAGGCCCCAAAACTACCTGCAAGACGACCCCGCCATGCCTCGCACGAGATCTTCTTTACCATCCGTGTGGCCGCCTACCTGTATACCGCGCAAGGTGTCGGGATGCGCCGCGTCCCATTCGACAACGACTCGTCCAGTTTTTGGACCGCCGCATGCCGTCTATGGGCGCGGATGTTGACAGGCATTTTCCCCAAATCGTCACTCCTCCTCCTCCTCCTCCGAGGACCCTCCTTCGCCTCTCCCCCATCCTCCCCCTCTTCCTCCTCCTCCTCCTCCGCCTCCTCCTCCGCTTTCTCCTGTTTGGTACCTTGTCGCCATCTCCGCGTCCCATCATCAACACCATCACTACCAGCATCATCATCGCCATCACCCGCACCATCACCACCGCCATCACCATCACCACCACCACGGATCACCATCACCACCGCCACGGATCACTGCCTTGTCGCGTGTCTGGACACATGCGATGCAACCCGCATCCGCCAACCCCATCCAGGGCCTCCAGACGTGCAAGATTCGTCCCGTGAACGGCCCCACATGCCCCCGGACTCGCTCGGGGATGGCCCGGAAGAGCCTTGATCCCGCCCACCCAAAGCAACAAGACAACACAGGTACGCCCCAGGACAGCAACACGACATCCCCAAGACGGACAAGGGGTCGGCGGACGTGGCGTAAGCCTATAGAATGTTAAGTCGGGCCTGTCCCCCTACAGGCCGATTTCAGCCGAAAAATGAAAAAATAGTAAACACATACACTAACATATTCAAAAATGGTCAGAACATGGTCCCCAGACTATTTTTTGACTATTCTTGAATTGTCCTCCTGTAAAGGGACAGGCCCGACTTAAAGCAAATCGGGACCCACATCGAGCCGCATCGTCGATGCATCGGCGATGCGGCGCGATCCTCCGACCCCACCTGCTCGGACCCCACCTATAAAGGGCAGAAAATCCACCCCGATAATAACCACCCCGACCGCGAGGCCCTTATTAAACGCGCCCAAAGAAGAAATCGATCAGAGCAGGGCTGTTTAGTAAACGCTCAGGGCCGTCTAGTAAACGCCCATTGTCCGGTCTGGGTTGTGTTTCCTCCCTTGGAAAAAAAAAAAAGTCCGAGCGACGTCAAGCCGTCCTTAGAGGCCTCGTACATGGGGCCGGAACAGGTGGGGTCGGAGGATCGCGCCGCATCGCCGATACATCGGCGATGCGATGCATTGCGATGCACTGGCGATGCGTCGTCGACGCCGCGATGCGTCGGCGACGTCAACGCGAAGCAAATCTCAAGTCGGGCCTGTCCCCCTACAGGCCGATTTCAGCCGAAATATGAAAAAAGAGTAACAAAAAAAACGAAAATACTCAAAAATGGTCAAAACATCGTCCCCAGATTTGTTTTTGCTTATTTTTGAATAGTCCTCCTGTCGAGGGACAGGCCCGACTTAAAACAAATCGGGACCCACATCGAGCCGCATCGTCGATGCATCGGCGATGCGGCGCGATCCTCCGACCCCACCTGCTCGGACCCCATCTATAGAGGGCAGAAAATACACCCCGATAATAACCACCCCGACACGCGAGGCCATTTCAGTAAACGCGCCCAAAGCAGAAATCGAACAGGGCAGGGCTGACGCTGATTGTCCGGTCTGGGTGGTGTTTCCTCCCTTGCAAAAAAACGCACACGTCCGAGCGACGTCAAGCCGTCCTTAGAGGCCTCGTACATGGTGCCGGAATAGGTGGGGTCGGAGGATCGCGCCGCATCGCCGATACATCGGCGATGCATCGGCGATGCGTCGGCGATGCACCGGCGATGCGTCGTCGACGCCGGCGATGCATCGGCGACGTCAACGCGAAGCAAATCGTAAGTCGGGCCTGTCCCCCTACAGGCCGATTTTAGCCGAGAAATGAAAAAAAGATTTAAAAAAAGTCGCAACAAAAACAACTCAAATACTCAAAAATGGTCAAAACATGGTCCCCTGACTGTTATTTTTGTTTCGTTTCTTATATATATATATATATGTATATATACAATTTTTTGAATTGTCCTCATGTAGAGGGACAGGCCCGACTCAAAGCAAATCGGGACCCACATCGAGCCGCATCGTCGATGCATCGACGATGCGGCGCGATCCTCCGACCCGTCCTGCTCGGACCCCCTCTATAGAGGGCAGAAAATCCACCCCGATAATAACCACTCTGACACGCGAGGCCCTTAGCAAACGCGCCCAGAGGAGGAATCGAACAGGGCAGGGCTGTTTAGTAAACGCCCAGGGCCGTCTAGTCCACGCCCATTGTCCGGTCTGCGTGGTTCTTCCCCCCTTGCAAAAAAAAAGAACGCACACGTCCGAGCGACGCCAAGCCGTCCTGGTCCTCCGGGCTCAGAGGGGTCCAGGCCCTCGAGCCGCCGTGCGCGCCGGCGCGCGCCGCGGCCCCCGCATGGCACTGGCGGGGCCCCTGCCAGACGCAGTGGGGGGGGGCCTCGCGACCTCTCGCCTCGAGCCCGGAGGGCGGCAGGAGGAGGAGGAGGAGGAGGAGGAGGAGGAGGAGGAGGAGGAGGAGGAGGAGGAGCAGGAGCAGGAGGAGCAGGAGGAGCGATATGCGAGCGGCGGCAGCACGTGCGGGCACGGGCGAGCGGCGGCAGCGGTCTGCAGCGCTGACAAAGGCGACGTGGGAGGCGAGGATTCACCTGAACCGCGGGTGTCAGCGGTTGCGAGAGCGACTGGCAGTGAACCGCGGTGCATTGGTAGCATGGGCTGTGGCCTGGAGGATGGTAGGACGAGTGTGCGACGAGGGCTGCGCTGTTCCCATCGTACTTCAGGGCCGCACTCCAGAAGGCATCTCGAGCACCCAGGCAAGAGTCGAAACGAGGCGAAGGGTCGGACGAGTGTCGCCTCCTAAATCCCGACACGCGAAAACCCTCTAGTCTCAATTTTTATTGCGGGTGCCCGAACTTCTTTCTGGTGATCAAGGCTAACGTAGGCTGGAACATCTTAAGACGAGGACCAAGCTGGAGGCCTGCACCTAGCAGAGGGGACGACGGAGGGCAAGGAGGAACGCCCCAGGGGGCGAGGTAGCCATGTCCCCTCGCGCCGCCTCCTCCTCCTCCTCCTTCTCCTCCTCCTCCTCCTCCTCCTCCTCCTCCTCCTCCTCCTCCTCCGCTTCTCCTCCTCCTCCTCCTCCTCCTCCTCCTCCTCCTCCTCCGTTCCTCCGTTCCTCCGTTCCTCCCCTCCTCCGTTCCTCCTCCGTTCCTCCTCCTCCTCCTCCTCCTCCTCCTCCATTCCTCCATTCCTCCCTCTCCGTTCCTCCGTTCCTCCTCCTCCTCCTCCTCCTCCTCCTCCTCCTCCTCCTCCTCCTCCTCCTCCTCCTCTCGGTAGCGAAAGAAGGACGTACGTGTACACGAATCCACGCTGGTTTCGCAAGTACGCATGGCGCGAACGTTCGACGGGGATCGTGCAGGGTGGTGAAGGCAGCCAATTAGTCAAGTCAGAACCCCCCAGGTACTGGGCCAGCGAGTTTTGTTATGATGTTTCTTGGCCCCTATAATCGACTACAAACGCCCGCGCAGTCTGGAAACCTCCTCCTCCCTCCTCCTCCTCCCTCCTCCTCCTCCTCCTCCTCCTCCTCGCCTCCACCTCGCCTCCTCCTCCTCCTCATCTTCCACGGCCTCCGTCTCCGCCCACTTCGTCGCCGATGTCGTGGTCCTCTTCAGGGTCGGCGGCACCGGCCGTCAGGCCTTCGCAATCGACTACAAACGCCCGCGCATTCTGGAAACCGAGTGTGTAATCACACGATGCAGTACAATTTAAAGCAGTGCTCCCGCATGGTCTCTGACTCCGATGTAGTGAGCCTGGCGCGACCCTGATTAATGCAAAGCGATGCGTTGGCATGTATTCGCATTTCTTTGCGTTGCTTGGATTTGTCGCTTGGCATCGCTTGGCAATGATTGGCGTTATTTGGATGTGCCGTTTGGCATCGCTTGGCAACGCTTGCGTTGCTTGGTATTTCTTTGTATTGCTTGGCGGTGATTGGCATTGCTTGGCATCGCTTGACTTGGCAATGATTGGCTTGGCAGTGCGTGGCCTGGCTTGGCATTGCGTGGCTTGGCAGTGCATGGCAGTGCATGGCAGTGCTTGGCTTTGCATTGCTTGGCAGTGCTTGGCCTGACAGGCCCGTGAAGCAACGCCGAGGAACCCTGAGAGCAACGCCGGGGGCTGCCATCATTGCCGAGCCACGCCGAGAAACAACGCCGAGGAGCCCCGAACGACCCCGAGGAGCTCAGGAGGCGAAGGACACCGCACCCACCGGCTTCATCCACAAGCAGCTAAGACGCGGTGAAATCCAGTGCGCACAGCGGAAACCGTGCGCCCCATATTCCCAGGCTGCGTTGGATTGGCAGAGCGCCGTGCTGCCCACTGGTCCAACACATTTCGCTGCTTGGCCTCCGAGAGGCAAACCCTTTAGGCCAAGCCTCATTTGGGAAGACGAGGTGCGTCTCCTCCTCCTCCGCCTTCTCCTCCAAGAGGAGGAGGAGGAGGAGGAGGAGGAGGAGGAGGAGGCGGAGGCGGAGGCGGAGGCGGAGGCGGAGGCGGAGGAGGAGGAGGAGGAGGAGGAGGAGGAGGAGGAGGAGGACTCTCGACGCAGGGCAGGCGGGGCGCACGCGCCACGCGGCAGGGAGCTGCGGGGGCGACGAGGAAGGAGCAGGCCGCCGATCGGTTCCGGCGATGCTTACGCGACGCAGAGGGACCTACTGGTACGATGCGTCCTCCTCGGAGGCGTGCGTCCGATCCGAATAGAACACGCATCTTGTAGCGCATCGTTTCCCCAGCGGCATGGCCAACAAGCGCCTGCCGCACAGCTGATACTATAAGATTTCTCGGCGCACACGTCGCCCCGGGGGGGGCGGGCGACGCACGCATTGTATTAGTATGTTGGTTTGACGCCGAGCTTATGCAAGGGGGGGCGATCAATGACGCGCTCCAAAAAGGGCCCTGACTTCGAGGATCGAAGGAGTTGCCATCTCGTCCTCGGCGGAAGGCGGCGGAGGGTTGGCGGAAGGTGGCGGAAGTACTACAGCGGCGGTTCCGCCCGCGGAAGCCGGCGGAAGCTCGGCGGAAGCAAAAGTCGACCTCCCAAGAAATGACAACATGTTTGGGTTCAGTATTCCGGAATCGGCCACATGTCGGGGGTTGCTGAAGGTGCCCCTGGCCCAACGCGCCCCCAGCTTTTCGCTGTCTTGGAGCCCCCGGGGCCCTCTGGGCCGCGTGAGGGGTGCTCTGGAGGCCGTGGGGGCCTCCCTGGGGATCTGAGAGCACCTTGGGCCAGGGGCACTTCTAGCAACACCCGAAATGGGGGGGGGCGATCAATGAGGGTGGGGGGGGGACGTGCACCGTTCGTGCCCATTACGGGCACCAGAAAGCCCCTTTTTAGGCCCCACCTTTCTTCACCCCGCTGTTGCATCGCCCCCCCCCCCCCCCCCACACTACGCAACGCCCGAGTGGTGGTGACGGGAATGGAGACAGGCTTCTGGAGATCGGGTCGACCGGGTCGGGGGGGGAGCGCGAGGGCCGCAAGACAGCAGTTTCTCGTCGCGCCTGCAGCGGGGCGGCCACAGACTCTTGCTGGTGCACCCTCGCCTTGGAGAGAAAGCTGCCAGACGAGCCCGAGTTGCTCGCCGCGGACTGCGAGACGTTGCTCGCAGCCGCCTTGGAGAAGAAGCTGGCCGAGGCGGCGCCCGGGGGCCTCGCGCCGGGAGTGGCGGGCGGCCTGGCGAGGAAGCCACCGGGGACGCCCCAGGCGCTGGCGGTCGTGGCCCTGGAGAAGGGGGTCTCGTCCTCCAGGGCGTATGCCGAGGTGCGCTCGCCGTCGCTGTCGCCCTCGTCCCACCCGTCGGTGAGCTTCATCTCGTACTTCACGAAGCCGAAGCAGCGCCCGTGCTCGAAGTTCCAGTCGGTCCCCTCCGACTCCTGCGGCCGAGCGGGGGGCCCAGGGGGCGGCGCCGCGAGCGGTCCAGGGGGAGATTCCCAGGGGCACGAACGAGGTACTGCAAGCACAAGCGGAACACTCCCCGTCGCTCGGACGTCCATTCCCTGTGTTTTTGTTCGGCTTCGTGCGTGTTTTTTTTCCGCAGGATGATCCAGGATGCTCCTTAATAATCCCCACCGAGAAAAAAAAAACACGTCCGAGCGATACCGAGGAAACACAAATCTTGCTATAAGAAATCTAGGGTTAGGTCGGGCCTGCCCCCCTACAAGCGGTTTTTGGTCGAAAAATGAGACATGCCCCAAACATGCAGAAACGTAGTCAAAGCATGCCAACCAAATCGTCCCCGTATTATTTCCCAACCATCCTGTGGTGTTGGGTCCTCGTTTTGAAGAGACGGTGCCCCGCGTTCCTCTCCTCCTCCTCCTCCTCCTCCTCCCCCTCCTCCCTCCTCCCATCATCATCATCATCATCATCATCATCATCATCATCATCATCATCATCATCATCATCATCATCATCATCATCATCATCATCATCATCATCATCATCATCATCATCATCATCATCATCACATCAGCATCAGCATCATCATCAGCATCAGCATCAGCATCATCATCATCATCATCATCATCATCATCATCATCATCATCATCATCATCATCATCATCACCACCGATTTCGGCACACCCCTCACACGTTTCGTGGCCCCATAGGGAGCTCCACCGAAGGCCCCAGTGGCAGGGTCCGCATGCCTCCCCACCACCCATGTCGGCACACCCCTCACACGTTTCGTGGCCCCATAGGGAGCTCCACCGAAGGCCCCAGTGGCAGGGTCGCATGCCTCCCCACCACCCATTTCGGCACACCCCTCACACGTTTCGTGGCCCCATAGGGAGCTCCACCGAAGGCCCCAGTGGCAGGGTCCGCATGCCCCCCCACCACCCATTTCGGCACACCCCTCACACGTTTCGTGGCCCCATAGGGAGCTCCACCGAAGGCCCCAGTGGCAGGGTTCGCATGCCTCCCCACCACCCATTTCGGCACACCCCTCACACGTTTCGTGGCCCCATAGGGAGCTCCACCGAAGGCCCCAGTGGCAGGGTCCGCATGCCTCCCCACCACCCATTTCGGCACACCCCTCACACGTTTCGTGGCCCCATAGGGAGCTCCACCGAAGGCCCCAGTGGCTGCGTTCGCATGCCTCCCCACCACCCATTTCGGCACACCCCTCACACGTTCGTGGCCCCACTCCACCGAAGGCCCCAGTGGCTGCGTTCGCATGGTCCCACCCACCGGCTCACACGTTTCGTGGCCCCATAGGGAGCTCCACCGAAGGCCCCAGTGGCAGGGTCGCATGCCTCCCCACCACCCATTTCGGCACACCCCTCACACGTTTCGTGGCCCCATAGGGAGCTCCACCGAAGGCCCCAGTGGCAGGTTCGCATGCCTCCCCACCACCCATTTCGGCACACCCCTCACACGTTTCGTGGCCCCATAGGGAGCTCCACCGAAGGCCCCAGTGGCAGGGTCCGCATGCCTCCCCACCACCCATTTCGGCACACCCCTCACACGTTTCGTGGCCCCATAGGGAGCTCCACCGAAGGCCCCAGTGGCCATTTCGGCACATCCCTCACACGTTTCGTGGCCCCATGGGGTTTTCCACTGAAGGCCCCAGTGACTGGGTTCGCATGCGCCCCCACACCCATGTCGGCACACCCCTCACACGTTTCGTGGCACCATAGGGAGCTCCACCGAAGGCCCCAGTGGCAGCGTTCGCATGCCGCCCCCACCCATTTCGGCACACCCCTCACACGTTTAATTCGTGGCCCTACAGGGAGCTCCACCGAAGGCCCCAGTGGCTGCGTTCGCATGCCGCCCCCACACCAACTTCGGTGCACCCCTCACACGTTTCGTGGCCCCATAAGGAGCTCCACCGAAGGCCCCAGTGGCAACGTTCGCATGCCGCCCCCACACCCATTTCGGCACACCCCTCAAACGGTTCGTGGCCCCATAAGGAGATCCACCGATGACGGTACTCACACCAGCATTACTCACAACTGCATATGGTTGGGTCCTTCGCCAGGCTAATTTTTGAATACGTTTGAATTTTCCTCCTGTAGAGGGACAGGCCCGACTTAAATCTAGGGGCGCGTGTGCTGTCGAGGTGCCCCAAGGCTGCCGTGGGCCCCCAGCGCCGTCGGTGGACGGGGGACTTCCGTGGGCGCCCGCTGGCACAAGCCGGTCTCTCCTGTGACGTGCCTGCCGTCGGACCTAGGTGGCAAGTGACATTCCCAGGGGCACGGCTGCTAAACACGAGCCCGGAAACTCGCCCAACACAGAGCGGTTCTGGATTTTCCAAGATGTAACAAAAATTCAACCATTCCCGGAAGGGGATCGGAAGAATGACATGCGGCACACCCTTTTCCAAAATACGTTCAAACATCTACCCAGCAAAAGGCGGTTTCGTCGGTTTGGCCGGAGACATCCCGCGAAAAATGAGCCACGGCACCGCACCCCCGCCCCAAAATTGATCATTTGAGCGGCGCATTTGTTGTAGCCGTGTCCCCAAGAATACAAGTCATGACTAAGGCAGAAGAGCAACCTGCAAGAACACGAAAACCTCCGCTGGCTAAAACACACAGAACATCCGATGGCACCCTCCCCACGATGCACAATAATGTCCAACAAACTGTTTCGTCAGCGGGAAGCTAGGGCACGAATTAGCGAATTGGCCGGCGGGCGAAGAGAGGGGGGGAAGAAGGGACGCTCAGACGTCGAAGAGTTCGACGATGAGCAGCCAGGGGGGGCAGCAGCAGCCAGGCGCGCAGAGCCAGTGCGCGGTGGGCGGCCGTGGCGAACGACCTGCTGTCCAAAACAAACATCCGATGGCACCCGATGCACAAGAACGTCCAACATACCCGAAACACATCAGGGTAGCCTCCCCGAACCGACCTCGATCTCATACCTCGGTCCAGCTGCACCGTAAACGCATACACGAAGGACGCAAGACAAGGATGCAAGGGCCTGGAAAGGCCATGTCGACACCTTTCGAGCGGGTCGCGGCCAGCAAAAGTGGCCAAGGATGGGCCGAAGGGTAAGGATGCAAGGGGAACATGGGCAAGTTGCTCATCACTGTGCGCTTTGACTGTGTGGTGCCGTAGGAAGATAGCTGGAGAGGAATCCTAGGGAATCCCCGTACGGCAAGTTCGTGTCGTGCCGACTTCGGCGTTGGTTGTTGACACCGCTCGTCCAACCTCGATTGATCGGCTGTTTCCGAAACGTCGGATCGTTCAACATCGACCCGCTCTGGGTCGACGGCGGCATTCAACGTTGAACGTCGGCGGCGGGGTCGCTGCCGGTCGACACGACGCGAACCAACCGTACTGCAATGCAGGATGATGGCTGGGGATGATCCCGGGAAGTCCCCCCAAGGCAGCAGCGCCCAGAGAGGTGATCCTCCTCCCTCTCCTCTTGCTCTCCTCCTCCTCCGACTACTTCTCCGACTCCACTTGCTACTCCTCCCCCTCCTCCTTCACCTCCTCCTCCTCCTCCTCCTCCTCCTCCTCCTCCTCTTCCTCCTCCTCCTCCTCCCTGTCCTCCTCCTCCTGCTCCTCCTCCGACTCCTCCTCCTCGTCTTCTGCTTCTTCGTCTTCCTCCTCCTCCTCCTCCTCCTCCTCCTCCTCCCTCCCCTCCTCCTCCTCCCCTTCCTCCTCGTCCTCCTCCTCCTCCTCCTTCTCTTCTTCTTCTTCCTCCTCCTCCTCCTCCTCCTCCTCCTCCTGATCCTCCCCTCCTCTTCCTCCTTCCTCCTTCTCATCCCACAGATCCCACTGGTCTGACAGGTTCCACAGGTCCGGCAAGTCCCACGTGTGTCCTTGGTCTCGCATGCCCCATATCCAACTGGTCCGACAGGTCCCGCAGGTCCCAGAGTTGCCGCATGTCCCCCATGTCCCACAGGTCCCGCGGGTGCCACGACGAGGAGGAGGAGGAGCGAGGGGGAGGAGGGGGAGGAGGAGGAGGAGGAGGAGGAGGAGGAGGAGGAGGAGGAGGAGCGAGGAAGAGGGCCCTGAGGGCTGATGACACGCCTTGGTCTGGAAGGCCTACCTGGGCAGACGCGTGTCGGGCATGCGCCGAGGCGCGGAGCTGAGCCAAAGCCCAGCGAACAAAACGAGGGTATCCAGCGTGGCAGCGCGAGAGACCCAGCGGCCACCGACGGCAGCCGCCGCAAAATTACGCGGCCGATCCTACCGAGGCGACGGGAAGCGCGCGGGCGCACCGAGGCGCCCCAGCAAGTCGCGCCCTGGCACCCCACTACTGGGACGCCTGGGCGGGCCAGTTCAGGGTCCCCTTGGCAGCCTCGATCGCGCTCCGCTTCAACTCCGACAAATTGGCGGCACTGGTGATCGTGCGCTGGAGCTCCCTGGGCCTCAGGTGGTCCTCGAAACTGAGGAGCTCGCCGAACTTCGCGCTCGTGCTAGCACCGACGTGGTCGACATGTTCTATGACGCTGCAGCCGCCATCGGAGGAGCCAATCTCGGGCGACTCTACCTGCGCCACCTTCACGCTCACCTGAAGGAAAAGGGTACCGGCTGGCAGAATGTTCGGCTCATTCTTTACTCCGATGAAGTTCGACTGCTCTAGCTGCTCGCCTGAGGCTGCAGCATCCGTGAAGTTCGGCTCACGGACCTTCTACTCTTTGCTGCTGTCGCTGGGCTCGCCATCTGCGTGGCAAACTGGCGTCAGCTGTGACGTACGGCGCCATGCCGAGAAGGCGTAATCGAGCTCGTTGCGCACGTCCTTCAGCGCATGGCCACCAACTTCTCCGTGCGCAACATCCGTTCCATGTCCCTCTCCGCGTAGGCCACCTCCACCTTGTCTTCGTTGGTCAGGGACTGCGCCCTGTCCTGAGCTTCCTTGGAGGTTGACTTGCGAAGGGTGGGCTCCAGCGACGTGGTCAGCTCCTGCAAGCTATCCTTCTTCGCCT